GTACCGAGAATATTCCATAAACTTTATTTTGTCGACAAAGGGGTAAGCACGCCTGAACGTAGAAGTTTGGTACTCACGAGAGCTTTTTAGCTATATTTCGCTTTCGAAGTTTGGTACTCACGAGAGCTTTTTAGCTATATTTCGCTTTCACCNGAGCTTTTTAGCTATATTTCGCTTTCGAAGTTTGGTACTCACGAGAGCTTTTTAGCTATATTTCGCTTTCACCCGCAATTTCGTAAATTTTTTACCCTATGGGGATTCGAACTCACGACCTCTGCGACTATTAATAGTGGATTACTATTATATATAGTGGATTACGAGGATACCACTAGACCACCGGGGAGCCAGTTCGGAATGCTGCGCGGTGAATTCAATTAATTGCAAGTTACCGTAGGAAGTAACTCGTGCGGAAAAATTGGCGGATGACGGGGTCTGAACTCCCTCAGGGCAGGGTACACTTGAAATATCTATGTAGGGTACAAAATGAAGAGGAAAGCAGCCACGGCAGGGTAACCCTGGCCTTTTTAGCGACACGACGGGGTGAAAAGTGTGTGTCGACCAATCATATCGGCTCATTTCACGTTGATAAAAAGCATGCACCAGGCTGAGTCGTCTATTGACCGGGGTATACCTCGATGTGTCGTTGGCCTTTCTACATTTACAGCAGGTCGAGCCGTTCTTGTACCACCAACCACCATTGTGTCTTCAAGCAAGTTGTCGTTCGTGGCCGAGGAAGCCTCCACCACACGAGAAAAACAAGAGGGACGACAAGCCAACACAAGAAAAGGCGAGGGGGAGTTGTTTATCAAGACTAAGACTGATGCGACTGTAGATCGATCGGCAGGCTGCGGCCGGCTCTCTGTACAACTTTCTCGCACGCAGTTACGATAGCTTTGCCTGGGCCATTGTATCCACGCATTTTCCCCAAAGGCTGGAAAAAACAAAAAAGCGGGGTGTAGAGATGAGATGAAGTGTGGACGTTTCTCTTCAGCCAAAGGGAGAGCCCGTCTCTCTATACTACCGGGCATCACATGAACGTGTAGACAAGAGCAAGCTCTAGGCAGCCGAGGAAGGCTCGCTCATTCGAATCGGCGTTGGGCCCAATGAACGCAGCAGGTGGTGACCCCCCTCGCCCCTTGTGCTCTCCCCCGCCCTTCCGACAGCAGGTCGAGCCGTCCTTGTACGGTGTCGCTCGTGGGCAAGACCAGGCAAGTCACGACCTTCCACCGCCCGCCCCCCATCCCGACGACCCGACCTTCCGTTCCGAGAAGAGGACGACAAGGCACCACCACCAAAAGGCGAGAGCTGGGGGGGGGGTCCAGTTCTACATTACATGTACTTGTAGTAGACCGGACAGAGAGTACGATGTTTCGTCGAGAGATTGATCCATGCTGGCTACCCTGCAGATGTCGATCGAGGGGGACTGATTTCTGACCTTTCTGTGCAGATGTCGAAATCGGCCGACCACCTCTGGTTTCTGAGTCCTGGTTTGTGATTTGTTCTGGGCAGGCGTCGAGATCAGAGGCCGACCTCTGACCTCTTGGCACATGTCGAGGAGATGTATGTGCAGCTTGTATTAGATTGATTTCTCGGCAGGCAGACGGCTCGGTACTCGTGTACTTGTGTACTTGCGTACTTGCTCTTGCTCGCACGCAGGTTTTTAGTTACAATGATAGCTGGTTATACCTGCCCGCCTGCCTTTGCTTTGGGGAATGGGGAAAAAAAGAGCAAGGCAGGTCGGCAAGAAACCTGGGGTAGAGAAGCTGGAGCCCGTGACACCGCTCTTGATATGCTAGCTCGCACGAGGCCTTGTTTTGGCTTGCGGCGAAAATCCTATCAGGCATTGAAGTATCGTTCGGTCCGCCGACGCTCGGTAGCACTTGCACGTGTTCGGTTCTTGGCTCGCCCGAAGCTGCTGTTTGTTCGGTGGCTTGCGGTGAAAATCCTATCAGTCGTCGTCGTTCCGACGGCGGCGACGCCGGTAGCACTGAAACGTGCGCAGTTCAAAAGCTCGCACGAAGCCTTGGATTGCAGTGGAAATCCTATCGCTCGTTGTGTTGTTCTATATTTCCGACTCCGGTAGCACTTGCACGTAAACAGCTCGCTTGTCTTTAGGACAGGGAAGCCGGCTCGTTTGCTACTACAGTACAGGGCGTCGTCGTTTCAACCAACGCGTGTGTTTGTTTTCTAGAGCAGAGAAGTACAGCAGCAGCTCTCGCCGGTCGTTGTGGCTCGTTCGTCTTCGTCTTATCGCCGATGAGCCACGCAGCGGCTGACCCCCCTCGCTCGGCCTCGCTGCCCCTTGTCTCCCTCACACTGAAGCAGGTCGCGCCGTTCTGTGAGTAAAAAGACGAAGCAAGTCAAGACCTTCTTCCGTCCACCCGCCCCCACGGTACCGCGTTTGTTTCCAAGAACGGACGACAAGGCAACACCACCACCACCACCACCACCACCACGGAACGAAAGGCGAGAGGCGGGGGGTCTAGGTTCTAGACCGGAGTACGGTGATTCGTCGAGAGATTTATGTTTATGGTTCTCGGCAGGTAGGTATGTCGATAGATCGATCCAGGCTGAAATCTGATTTGTTCTGGGCAGACGTCGAGATAAGAGGCCGACCTCTGATTTCTGATTTCTGTGCAGATCGATGTCGAAATCGGGACCTCTGGTTTCTTGGCAGCAGCTGTCGAGATCTAGCTGGATTTCTCGGCAGGCAGACGGCTTTCTGTGCAATTGTGTACTTGTGTACGTGTGTACATGTGTACTTGAGACATCGCGTTCTTCAACTGCGCAGCTACATATGGAGCTGAGCCGGTGGATCAGAAGCTCCCTCGGCGTCTCTCCTGATGTTGTACATCCAAAGGTCAGCTGACAACAATTTGATTGCTCTTCTTCTCCAACAACTACTACTGCTCAAAGTACTGTAGTAGACTACAAAGTGCTGTCCATGTTGTTGTCCGTTCCGTCCCCGCTCAATACTCCCTAGTGTATGTCCGTCCTGGTCCGGACGCCGTGGCGTAGCTAAAAAACTTGCTACCTGTTGTTTGGATGCTACGGGCCCGTGGTATTTGCTCCAGTATGTATATGTTGCCATGCAGTGTATGCAGATGTCTAGGTGCAGAGTTTGAGAATCTCAAGAAATTTCTTTGGGCTGCAAGAGGACCATGTAGCTGTGGTTGTCGTGTTTTGTTGTCTTCACAAAAAAAAAACGTTCCGATCTCGTATCCAATATGTCCATCTTGTCCGTATTGATCAAACTTGATCGAGCGATTCCCGTAGTCACAGACTAACATCCTAAGAAAGGCAGATTCAAACGAATGGGCCCGAAGGGTCTGCAAGCCAATTGAAATCAACGACAGATAGTCTGGGGCCCTCCGCTCCCCTCTACACGCTCACCATTTGGGGCAGAAATGAACTGGAATTCATTATCACAGGCCAGCGAGAGAGGTACATCCCCTGGTTCAATGTTGGTGCTGTACAGAGGAAGAGAGTAGATCATCCGGGGAAGAACGAAAAGGATGAAGAAGTAGGTTGAAAGAGAAAGAGAAAGAAATGAAAAAGGCAGGATAAAAGCAACATAGGCACGCAGAAAAATGTGAGACACAGGCCACAGTCACAAGCGAACGAACACAATCAAGACCACCAGCAATAGTCAAGGCATGTCATAGCTCGTGGGGGGTTGATGCAATGAATTGTGCAATCACGGGGAAAGGGGAGAGGATCAGCGAAGGAGCTCACTTCGGCCTATCTATTACGCTTCACTCGGTCTGCCTTTCCTCGCTTACTTTCTTCCCTCGCCGTCTCGTCCATCTGCTGCTCCCCTCTCGTTCCCTTGGTTGTTGTCATAACTGTACTGTTTCTGGTCTCCCTGTCTCGTTTCAGCGCTCGTCATGGGCTACCCTCCTCTTCATCCTTGTGCCAGACGGTCGTGAACCTCTCAGCCCCCTGCCGTACCCTCGCATGCCTTGGTACACTCCGCTCCACCTTCGCTCCTTCTGTCCAAACTATTTTCGGGACTCCGAACACACATGGCTCGCCGACCGTGGATCCGTGTATAGCCCTGAAGACCTTGAAGTAGCCCTTCAGGCACTTCAGTCAGCGCTGCTCCGGGCATTCCTTGCCTGGGTTCTCCGCCCCCACCACTTCGCCGAAAATCAACCGTTTCGGGAGTAGCCTATCCGACAGTCTTGCCAATGTTCCCGCGAACAGTAGGCACTGTTGCCGAACAGCGGCTTCCACGCTCTGGCACCCAACCCTCTTCAGGGTGTGGGCATAGGAACGATGCCGCAAGGTGCCCTGCTTACGCCGGCACCCGACAACTCGCAGGCGGAGCCGGTGGCGTATCGACCGCAACAGCCGGTAGCGGTCGCGACGTCGGGCCCATGCAACCACAGCAGCGGCTCCATCGTCTCCGCCTGGAGCCGGCGGGTCTTGAATCGAAACGGTGCTGTCGGCCTGTCGAAGAGCTCCTGGCCATATCTCCTGACGCATGCCCACGCTGCTCTGCTCCTGTAGTTGATCTCCCGGGTGAGATCGCCACATCTGTTGACGAGGCCACCCAGGTACCGGAACTCCCGGGAGCTAAGTCGTCTGGGCGTACCTCTGTCCCGCAACTTCGATGATCAGCGGTGACGGTGAGGGCGGCGGTGTTGGCTGCTCCTCCTCCTTTACGCGCATCAGGAGCGCCTTCGTCTTCTTCTCCGACACCGCCGGCCCGAACTCCCCGAACACTCCCACGATGACGGTCATCATTTTCGCCAGTCCGTCGTCGGACTTCGATACAACGCCGGCGTCACTAGTACCACCTTCCGCAATTGGTCAAATGGTGTTTCCGGTCCCGTTTCCGTCTCCTCAGCCGGGTTCAACACGTTCCGCAGAATAGCATCATCCTTGCTGAATCGAGTGACAACGACCTCGAGAGCCGCGGCGAAGAAGATGTTGAACAGCAGTAGGGACAACAACACACCCTTGTCGCAAGCCCTGTGTGATTCAAAACCAGTCAGATAGCTCTCCGTCGTCCATGAGCACCCTGGCTCGCATTCCGTCATGAAATTGGCGGATGTCGGTGATAATCTCCGCGGGAATATAGGCCCTGGCCAGCACCTTTCACGGCAGCTCTCGATCCACCGAGTATAAACCTTCTTCAGGTCGATGAAGCACATGTAGAGCAGCATTTTTCTTCTCCTGGAGTCGGCGCACGACGAACAGCATGTCGACGGTGGATTGCCCGTCGGAACTCGCACTGCTCCCCCGGTATGATGTCATTGGCTTCTCGGAAGGTTGGTGATGATTTTGATGGGGACTTTGCCAATGTGAGATAGCAGCGGAATCCCCCTAAAGTTGTTGCAGTTGGACCCTTCACCCTTCTTGTACAGCACTTTGATCTTTGCGTCCTTCCACTCTTGCGGGATCTCTCCTCCTCTCCATACCTTATTGAGGAAGGCATGGAGCCGCCCCAGTACGGTGGGTTCGTCGTCATCGATCTTGAGCAACTCGGCAGGAATGGAGTCATGACTGGGTGCCTTCCAGTTCTACCGGTCTTTCGTTGCCCGTTCGAACTACTCGAGGTCTGGCGCCGCCCCCAACCGTCGAGTGGCAGGTGTGGCCGGTCGCGGCGTAACTTGCTCGATGACGTCTGGGTTCAGGGTGGAGAACTTGGTGTTGAGCAGGGTGCCGAAGAATCTCGCCCACCGCTGGAGGATGTCGTCTTTGTTCCGGAGCAGCACGTCATTCTCGTCTGCGACGAACTTCCGTCCTCCAGCTTGTGTTCCATTGAGGCCCACCGATCTCTTGAGGTGTTTGTAGAGTCCTCTCATGTCTCGGACCTTTTAGATCGTTTCGAGTTCCGTCACGTATCTGTCCAGGTGGGCGTAGATGCCCGTTTCGGCTGCAGCAGCCACTCCCTTACAAGCTTCTTTGAGGGTCCTTCATGCTACTGAGTTCCGATTGCCCTTCATCGCGCGGCGCGCTTCCTGCGGCTTGGTCAGGACCTCCTCCAAGGCTGTTCTCGTTTCTGGGGTGTCACACCACTCCTGCGTGCGTCGTCTCCGCGGTTCCTCGGGTAGGATCGTCCGTGCTGCTTTGAGTAGAGAAGTGGTAAATTCGGTCGCTATCTCCGGGGTTGTGGTCACTTGCTCGCCCAGTCGTTTGTCGAGGTTGAGGAGGAACCGGTCAGCCACCGTCCATTTGTGTGTAATTCACGATTTACTTTGTAGCCCAAGGTCTCAGCGCTGAGGTGGTCTAATATGGTGGTTTGGTTTCGGTTGCTAAACAACCAGTAGTTTTCCCGGGTTCAAATCCAATCTGAATTCTTGATTGAGGTGTGGACTTTTTCCTGAGGCCCTGGATACTCTTACGTAGATAGAGCGAGTCAGGGAGACAGAAAAGCTTGACGTCTGCGACCCTGTACACTTGGAATGGGTGTTCTAAAGAAAATATATGCAACTCGATAAACATTCGGTGGACAGTAGTAGTGCTGGTGAAAGGGGCGACCCTCCTCGGAAGGAAAGCTTTTCGGTCATTCGGACCCCCAGACTTACTCCTGAGCTCAACCCAAAACAAGCATTTTTGGAAGAAGACCAGTCAGGACTGACTCACAGACCGGCCTACCTATTGATTTGGTTTCTGTTGGTAAACCCCACGAATGCTGAGCGCAACACTAATGACCCTATTTGGACGCACACATTTACCGTTCGTAGCGATCGCCATGAACAGGGGGACATGGCATCTCGTTAGAATTTGATATGCTTGTAATTATCGATCTCACATCTGTGCGAACTCGCACGTTTACGTTTCCTATGGGGCACCTTCCAAGTTAATCTGCCCCCATACTTCTAGCCCCCATGCAGAACACCAGGCTGCCTGTCAATCTCCACTAATATCTCATTCTCCTCAGCTTGTCACTTTCAAGACCTTCTTCTTGGTCTCCCTTTTCGGGGGG